TTTAATCTCGATGGGCAAGATGTAGGTACGTGTATGCTATCAAGGTAGGTATGTGTATGCATATGGTGTTGGAGTATGCTAACCACGTCTCTTTTTCTTTGTAGAGGTACCGTCACCGTTACGCGACCAATCGCGATGATTAGCGAGGATCGCGGGTTCGTCAAAGTCTTTGTGTAGGTCTTGATGCAACCGGTGATAAGTTGTTGATGACGTCTGGATTCTAACTTCCTTTGTTGTATAGGTGTTCGTTTTCTTCGTTTTTCCGTCTGTTGACCTTTTGATGCCGTCTGACTGTATCCGCAACACGTGGTTGTCGTCAGCGCATATCTTTCATGTGACATGATATCCTCCTTCCTGATCACGTCGTCGTTATCATGGTGTGGTTCGCGGCGTCCGTGGTGCGTCTTGGTCTTGGAGGTACGTTCGTCGTTGGCGCTTCTTGGAAGGTCTTGTTTGGTAAGTATGGTCTTGTGGTAGGCGTTGCTTTCACTTGCATTCCTCTTCTTTGGTGTCGTCATCTTCTTCGTGATGATAGTGGTAGTGTTTATAATCGTCGTCGTTGTCTTCCTCATGGTGGTAATAGTATCATCATCGTCGATCGTGATCAGGATCGTGATCACGATTATGACAGCTTCCCGTATTTGATCTTCGGGGCTGTCATCTTCGGAAGGTGGGTAAGCTTTTCATTGTGTTTTGTCTGTGGTGTATGGTTACTTCTTTTTCTAACCATTCTTATCTTCTTTCTTTTTTTTTTTTTTTCTTTCCGCGTCGGTGCCTTCTTCGCGGTCTTGTCGGTATTTCCAATCGTCAGGGCGGTATATCTCTCGTCGGTCGTGGTGTTGATTATTGTGGTGGGGGCTTGTCGGAGCGTTAGGCTTTCCTTGCTGCTCTGACATCTTTGAGAATATATATGCATGCATATATATTCTAAGGCGTGCTTATCGTTTGCAGACTTCGTATGATAAACTTTTTCTTCGCGATCGTGATCGTGATCGTGATCATGATGGCATTTCGGCGTTTCCGATCGTCAGTCTTAGTAAATTTCAGGTACGTTGCGGCGTTTTCTTTCTTTTGCGGCGTTCTACCATTGGCTTCTAACTCTCTTACCAGTCTTTCCCTAGCCCCATGCTT